GTTCTAGGTTTATAGACTGATTTGAGAGTAGTTTGCGGAGACTTGGGAAAAAAATTCGCAAGATCGGTATCGTCTGAACACCGTAAGTCTCCTGCATGTGGAAATTAATTTGAATACTCTCTATGTTTTAGCCTTGAATTTTCATTCTCTGACAGCTCTTGAGTAGTTTATTTCAGCAGTCAGCACCATCTCATGCACACTCTACGCAGGGAAGCCGATGAATATAAATGAGTGATCAAAAAGAAAAAAAAAAGGGAAAAAGTTGAAAGAAAAAAAAAGAAACACAGAAAAGAAAAGAAAGATAGTTAGTTGGTTCAGCGGTTTCTGGTGCTGAACTTGGTAGGGCGGATTACGGTCCGATCCCCCACAACTACAATTGAGTCAATAAGGGGTTATGCCACGTAAGTACCAGAACCCCAAAATAAAATAAAAAAGAGAGATCAGAGTCACTAACCGGTCGCCTTGCTATGAGTGTGTGGAGATAACGGGCTTAATGTGATTGCGCCTGAATGGAAAAGAGCAAAAAGGAGGAAGAATAAGTTAGGCTTTAGCATAATAACATTATTCGAATTGATTTGTATATTCAGGAGGGTTATGACTGCGCAATTGTGGGTTAGTGTTCCTACGATATCCTTAGTGTTGAAGATTAGTACCTATCGAGGCAAACTTAACCGAAGAAGTCTTGTAGCCTGGAATGAGTTTCCTTTGTTTTATTTGAATTTAATTTTGCTCGGAGTGCAAAAGTTCAAGTCCGGGGGAATTTGATCAGTGCATATTTATGCACATTCTCCTACATTTTTACTTAGGCATTTCTTTATGTTATTTTGCTTATTATTATATTTTATCATGTTTTCTTATTTTATTTTATTTTTGATTTAATTTAATTTTCGCAACTATTTTTCAGCTTTAGCAGTCTGCACGGAAACGATCATAACTGGAGTTCCGGGAATCCGATTGAGGCGTTCTAAATATCGCCGGAAAGCTAAGAGAGAGAGCTACAACTTTCGTGTTGGAGTCGAAGTCAGATTCGGAGCTCAAAATTCCAGATTTCCGTTTCAAGTTACAGCATTAGAATTTTATTTTAGTTTTGATGTTTTGGGCCTGGGTTATATTTTTGACCCAGTTGGGTTTTGATCCATTATTTTCCTTTTTAAAGAGAAATCGTGTTACTGTTCACATTACCTACTATTCACGAGAAAAAAACCTTGAAGCTTTTACGAATCCTATGGAGAACTAATCCCTCTGAGTCGGTCTACCGTAATTCAGGTTCCAACACTTGAGATTATTATAATATTATTACTATTTGTTAATTCCGTTCAATAATTTTATGTTCTTGTATGCTTAATTCGATTGCATGATATTATTGATTTAATTTGGTTGATTGTATGGTCCTAGGCATAGACACGTTTACGTTTGCTTAATTCGTTTGTGTGTCTGAACAATCATGTTTGCTTAATTCATGAAGTTTTATCCCGTTTGCTTAATTCGGACATTAGGATCATAAATCTTACAAACATTTTTGCGCTTGCCATTGAGTTTGCATCCAGATAGGAATGACACTTAGAAGATCAATATTATAATAATCAATGATAGTAGGAACCGAATCGGTAGATTGACTTATTTCATAATCAATTTTCTTCATAACAACTTATTTCGAAAATTACTCTTGTTAATTACTCTTCCCTAATCGAACCAAAAGCCCCCTTTTTATTTCATTACTGTAATTGGTTAATCACTACAAGAATCCTTGTGAGAACGATATTCCGAGTCACTGTCGTTGTACTGCATTTTTATAAAATTACTCGTTTTTGATCCGCGAGCGACCGCGGATCAGTTGCCACAAGTCTTGTTAGACTAAACTTAACTTATCCTCCCTTCTAATGAGGAGCATGGTGCTGACAAGTTCGTTACTCTTGGATATGGTGCATGAGATTTTACGGTTAAGGATATGTGCAAAGTTTTATCCAACTATGTTGCTAAGCCAAATGATAATACTTGGATGAAGGTATGGAATCTTGTTGAAATTGAATCACATTTTTAGAACATTCTAGTAAAAATAAAGGACAAAGTCTAGGGAAAACTAAAATAGTCTAAAGTTTCTACATGTTTTTAGATTGTTTCAATAATTCCTAGATTAAATTATAGTCTAAAAAGTTCTATGTTAATGTAATATAAAAAAGGCAAACAAAAGCCTAGATAGTTCTATTCTAGAAACATCCTCAAGCACCTATAAATAGACAAACATATGTGTAATTATATTCAAGTCTTTAAGGTTCAATGTCAATAACATTGAAAACTTCATCATACTATTATTCTCCTCCTACGATAAGTTGATTACTTATGTGTTGCCTCTTATTTTGTGTTATTAAACTACCTCCCACACTACTTGCTACTATCTTTAAACTATTTACCTGAACTTCTTTAAACTGTCATTCACTGACGTAGCAAACTATTTCTTCTTGTCACCAACTATTTTATTAAAACTAAAAAATGAGATCTTTGACTCAAATACAAAGGAGTACAGGTAGCCACACAGCCCGACTCTGTTTGAGTTCAAACTCAAAACTAAAAATGAGAGTGAAAAGTTCAGGTAACCTAACAGTATGACCCTCTTAATTTCAAGTACAATTAATATCGTAAACTATGGCAAATAAGGCTCGAGTTCTGATAGAGCACGAGTGCAGCGATAAAAAAATTGAGACCTGTGGCCTCTGAGGTTCAACTTGAGTACAAGCCTAGGAAGACAAATGAAACTACTAGAGCAAGAATGAGTTCCTGTCAAAATTCTTCTACAAGAATGACAAGGAGACTCATAAGCAACTAAGAAGCAAGAGTGATCCTTGTCAGAAATATTCAATAAGATCGACAAGGAGATTCACATGGAACTACACAATAAAAGTGGTCATTGTTAGAAGTCTTTAACAAGACAAACAAGGAAGATCACAAGCACAATTAAGGAGCAAGAATGATTATCGTCAATAGCTTTCAACAATGATGAGAAAGAGTTTAATAACAATCATTGTGATAAGTAGTGTGACAAAATTGAATCATGGTGAAGATAATGCTTTTCAAAATAAATTACATTACATAAAACTGTCAATGCAAGAGAAGATAGTTTCACAAATTCACATTTGAAGAACTATGAAATACACTTGGAGTTACTGAATTATGCATCAAGGAGGATTGTTGAAATTGATGCACATTTCTAAAACATTCTAGTAAAAATAATGACAAAGTCTAGAGAAAACTAAAATAGTCTAAAGTTTCTACATATTTCTAGATTGTTCCAATAATTTTTAGATAAAATTATAGTCTATAAAGTTCTATGTCAATGTAATATAGAAAAGGAAAATAAAAGTCTTTAAGGTCAAATGTCAATAACATTGGAGACTTCATCATACTGTTATTCTCCTCTTACAATAAGTTGATTACTTATGTGTTGCCTCTTATTCCGTGTTACTAAACTAGCTCTCACACTATTTGCTACTATCTTTCAACTATCTATCAGAACTTTTTACACTATCCAACTACATTCTAAAATATCATTATTTCCTCAAATACTAACAAATGTCAGTGTTTCGAAATGAGTTAAAAGATTTATGTGGTTATTGAAACATGATAGGTTGCTGACCAATTTTAACAAAAGTAGGAAAGGGTTAGGATTTGCGACTTGGAAGTTGTATGGACATGTGAGTGAAACGATGATGCATGTAATGGGAGAATGCCCTACAGCCATGTAGTTGTGGAAGAATGTTGTTCCAACTGATATAGTGCATTTATTCTTTCAGTTAGAATTAGAGGCTTTGATTGAATTGAATATTAATACAAGGAAAGAATAATTTAGGCTAGCACTCTCATTTTATATCTGGCACCTCCAATCTTTTATATTTTTAAAATTGTCATTGAAAAAAATTTGAAAAAAGTGAAAAAAATATATATTACCAAAAATTTCGAAATTTTAAATAAAAATATAAAATTTTTTGAGAAAAACTATGAAAAATATCGGAGTATTCAAAAAAAAATTTCAAAATTTTCAAATTTTTTTGAACTACTTTCTGAAAATTTTGAAATTTCTATTACTGTACTATAAATTTCAAAATTTTATGTAGTATAAAAAAATTCATATTTTTTTGGAATTTTCAAAATTTCTAGAATTCTTCAAATTTTTATTTTTTATTGGAAATTTTGAAATTCCGATAAAAATAAAAAATATCCAAAATTTCTAATACATATTACAAATTTCGAATAAAAACATGTAATTTAAAGAAAAAAGAAAATCCAATTTTTACAAAAGATATAATGATAAAAACACTCTTAATAGTGAGTGTTAGATACAAGTGAGAAGGGGGAGAATGGTAGGTCAAATTCTCTTTATTGGGCTGAATTGGAGTTGCTATTGGGTTATTAGGTGTCATTTTCTTTGAATTTGGCAAAATCAAGAAGAGCATGTTGATGAGTATGAGACAACCCTTTGATCCGGAAGCTTACATTTTTCAGAGAGTTAATGAGTATATAGATGCGATGAACATGAACAGAATTGTTATGGAAAAAGATAAAGTGGTTAAATTAATTGCTTGGTCACCTCCAAATAGGAATGGGGTGAAGCTGAATGATAATGAGGCTCGTAAAGAAGGTTTGATTTTCAGATGCGAGGCAATGATCAAAGATGATAAGGGCAAGTGAGTTGGCGGGTTTGCAAAGTTTTTTTTGCCATTGTAATGTCTTTATATCAGAATTGTGGAGTTTGTATTAAGGTCTCAAGCTAAACCTCATCTTTAAGATTAATGATGTTTGAGGTTAATGTGGACTCCATCACAGTGGTCCATTCTATTGAATAGATTGAATAGAGATGTTCAAACATGAGAGAGAGTTTGGCTATTAAAAAAAACAGATGAAGTATAAACCAAAAGAATCTTAAAAAACTTGTGCTACACGAGAAAAACAAAGATGCATTAATTAATACAAACAAAATAAAAGCATATCTCCCAATAATATATTTTTTAGTAGAAGAATACGAACGACTTTTTATTTACAACATTGTACACGTCATTCCAAAACTCATTCAAAGCACTCAACTCTCTCGTTGCCTTTTCATAAACACGACACCTTACAAGCGCCGGCACAAACAGCCACAACGCTGTATACATCACAAACGCCACCGTGAACAACCACGAAACCACCTTCGGCAATCGCATCTTCTCTCCAAAAGCTTTTTTAACCCCAACTTGAACAGCCAAACACACCCCATGTAAAATAAAAAAACACGTTGCATCCCACGAGGGTTCCCATTTTTCCCACGTGCGTTTCTCTCTTTTGATGTAATAAAAAACAACTTCATGCATTATAGCTGACACGGTGAATGTGGCGAGAATCGCGGGTAGTGGGGCCCACTTTCTACCCATCCAACGGCTGCAAAAAGTCATCACTGGTTCGTATACGGTGGGGTGTAGTACACGATTCACCGAAATATTCCACCTTTTGCCCCAAAATTCTTGAAGTGAAGTGCTTAGATATGGCTTATCAAATTGTGGCTCTAACTCAACATTTAGAAGCTTTTTAGTAAAAGTTGAAGCCAAAGCAAAGAAAAACTCAAGACCAATATACATGTGGAGGGTGTATAATAGAAAAACAAATTTTGGATGGAAATTTTCTTTTTTACTATATAATGGAATTAACAAAGCCAAGATGATAATGATAGTCGTATATACGTACCTAAGGGTTGGTTTTGAGTTTGATTTGTGGTCTTTTTTGTGGTTATTATCGGTTTGGTGTTGGAATTTTATGGGGAGGCATGCTAAGGAGATGAAGTGAAGTAAAGAGAGTGGAGGGTTAGTTGAGAGAGGACCTTTGTTAAAGGCAAAGAGTAAGAGTTTGAAGGTGGAAAGCCAACCTATGAAGAAAGAAGAGGGGCCTCCAAGGTGGATTGAGATGAGTCTTAGAGGGAGGAGAAAGAGAAGGATTATGGCAGGGACGAGAGCTATGAGTCTTGGTGTGCCATGAGAGATTAGGTTACCGATTGTGTGGCAATAGCACATTGTTGATGCGGCTATGGTCCATACCATGATGAAATTGTTGATTTCTCCATCCATTTTTTATCTTGATTTGTGAACCTTTTCTTTGTTTCTCTTGTGATATTTGGTTAATAGGGGAGGGAGGGTAGGACACATGTGCATCGTGTGTGAAGCATTTATGCTTATTAATTTTTGCAAGTTTTTGTTAACATAACATTAAATGAAAAACGTCGCATTTTCATCCAAATAAAACGGATATACTATATGTGGTAGTTATTAATTCACTATCAATTATCTTTTAACTAGTTAAGATATATTTTAATATATTGATTGATTTGTTTTTTTTTTTTACCAAACTACATTCAATATATTGATTGATTTGTTTTTTTTACCAAACTACATTCAAAGTATTTCATTAATCAAATGTTTGTTTAATATAAGAAAGAATCGAATTAAAAACACTTTGATTAGATTAAGAATTGGTTACCCTCGCATGAGAGGGGGTAATCGATTCGCTTGACGCTTAATAAACTTAAGCTCAAAGTTTGGTGAAATATATAACAACTTTACAATGCACATAATAATGAAACTAAATTCGCATTCCCTATTGTGATTGAATTGGATAGTTTAGACTACCTTTTGGGAGTCACTTTCGAAAATAACATTTTTCAAGTGCAAAGTTATAGCTCCATGACTTGCATCTTTAAGGGTCAAGATTTCTATTTCAATGACAGAGAGGGTACCTGAGTCCCAAGCTACATCTATTGCCCTCCAACACTGATTAGACGCGTTACATCCAAAAAAATTAGATGCCAATAACCTTTAATACTATTCTCACAAAGATGACAAACTGACAGACAAAAAACATAATGTTGTTGGAGTCTAATTCAAGTCGGTAAACAATCCCTACAAATTCTTCACAAGAGATGTTTAACTCTTGGTAGAGCTTTAATATTCTAGAGGCTACACTAATCCTCATTCCTCTCCCATTAGCACGACTTGTACGCGGACTCCTTCATATTTTGTACCTAGATCACACACTATAAGCATCGTTTTGCTCTTCTTTCCAAACCATTTTATCGTCTTTAACATCCTCCAACAATGGGACTTGTAAGATTTCTTCAGTATCTGCATAGTCAAACAACTCTCTTATGACCCTCGTATCACATTGTTTTACATTAGGCAACATAAGATTTTTAACGGTAACATCATACGCCCTTATTTTTGGGGTCCACTTAGACAACCTTCTCTTATTCACCGAATCTAAGATTCATTCATTGCCATGATGTGACTACCATCCCCAATACTCCACCTGCAGCCTAAAGTTAAAACTTCCCTCGGTTTCCAAATGCTCCACCATATAAAACTTGGATTATAGCCAAGATTAGCATTAAAGAAAGAAGTTTTAGGGTAGTATCTTACTTTGAAGATTCTAGATACAAGAGCATGAGGTTTTGTCAGTAGATGTCAACCTTGTTTAGCAACCATAGCCATGTTAAAGGCTTTAAAATCTCTAAAACCCAACCCACCTTCCTTCTTAGTACAAGTTAACTTCTCCCATGACATCCATTATATTACACTGTTATTACTACCTCCTCCCGACTAGAAAGAATTCAACATCTTTTGAATATCGTTAATCACTGCATCTGGAAGGATAAAGATACTCATTATATATGTCGGTATTCCTTGAAGGATCGATTTTATCATACCTTATTTCCTTTATTTTGATAAGATCGGCCTCTCCGAGAATTTATTCTCTTCCAAATACGATCTTTGATAAAAGAGAAAGTAGCCTAAATATGTTCTCATCAAGGACAAACCTAAATACTTTCTGATTCCTAGTACATGACAGACTCCCATAATACTAGCAAGATTCTCTTGTGCCGGCTTACTCATGTTACGGCTAAAAAATACTTCAGACTTAGTCATATTAATCTCCCAACCTGAAGCATTTGCATAAGTATTGAACAGCTTCATAAGATATCTCACTTCAGTTAAATTGGTCATGCAAAATAAAAAACAATCGTCAGCAAAAAGTAGGCAGGACACACTAGGTGCCCCTTTGCAAATCTGGATCCTATGAATATTGCCACCCGCCACTGCTCATTTTATAAGAGCTGAAAGTCCTTCTGAGATTAGTATAAAGAGGTAAAGAGATAGTGGGTCCCCTTGCCTCAGTTCTCTTCCTGGTTGAATTGGTCTGACTCGATCCGAATTAACAAGAATAGTACAGTGCACTGAAGTAACACACATCATAACCCGATGAATCCACCTATCTTCCAAACCCATCCTAGGGAGCATACCTCTCAAGAAACCCCAATCCTTTCTATCATACGTCTTACGAATTTCAATCTTGAGAGCCAGATGATTCTTACTATCTTTAATCTTCCTCTTGAAAGTATGAATAACCTCGATAGCAATTAACATATTATCGAGAATAGAACGACCCTTTACAAACACTAATTGTTCCTCCACCACACACTTATCCAGTGGTACCTTCATTCTATTAACAATAACTTTAGACACTAGTTTGTAGAACTTTGTCATACCCCAAATTTGTCTTACCCGTGTATGGCTTTCATTCTGATCATCCATTAACCATCATTCAGAAAATAAAAGAAATATATGTTGTTTCTTTCACTTGAGGATATCAAGTCAGGTGAGCGTGGGTAGTGTCATACCCCAATATTTTCCCTTAGATCATCAGGTTCATTTCACATTTCATTTCATTTTGCATTTCGTTTTAATTAACCGCTAATCGGTTTGCTCAATCTGTTTGTTTTTGCAGAATAATAACATTGTGTGCGAAGGGTCGTTAATCTACGGTCTGTTGACGATTATGAAGCAAAGTCGTTATCAGAAATTCCTCAAACGATTAGGGTTTCTATCTCTGAATTATGCGACTTTTATCTGAGAATGGGTTGAATTTTACGACAGTTTTGACGTTAGGTTTCTCGGGACACAGTACATTTTTGTTCAAGAACCAAAAGTAGTCATCAGTTGGATTGCATAAATGTTGTTTTAGTCATAAACCGTATGGAGTTGAGGGCATTGAAATATAAATGAGTTTGGCTTGAATCTGTGCGAGAATCAATTTCAAGGAATTTATTCTGACATATGCACATTTTCCTTTCTTTTTTTCTACTGGTTACCGGCCAATTTTAGAGGAACAGTGGAATTTCGGTTCGCATTGAGTTTATAATAAATATCAGTTAGTTTGATCACAATTATCAGTCACGTTGATTCAGGTTACAGAGTCAGATTATTCGGGATACCGTCTGGATTTTAAATGCGGAGGAAAATTTGTTTCACCACTAAACTTGATTTCTCTGTGTATCTGTTCAGGGCCATATTCACCGATTTTATGATCTAGTACAATTTAATTTGCAAAGGGATTCGTTTGAGCTCAAAAGTTACGTTGGATGTAATTCTCAGTTGTGCAAGATGTTCAGCTGTCGAATTCGGATGTTGAAGCGTTAAATTTTTTATCCAGATGAACTTAGTCGGAGAATAAAAATTCATTTTATTAAAAGTTGGATTTATTTATTCAAGTTCTATACAGTTTTATTACAACATTTATTCGGGAATACAAATTAAATTCAAACTCCTAATTGTCCTAAAAAAGTTCCTAATTTTTTTTCTAAGGGTTCTTCCCGCCCGATCTTCAAACTTCGACTCTTCGAACCTGCAAAACCAGACACATGAAAATAATTGTTAATTTGGTTAGAATTAAATTTTATCAAAAATGGTTTTTTTTGTTGTTGTGATACCCTCAGTAAATTATCATCATCGGGTACGTCGGGAGGGCAACAAGTGAATGCCGCCAGCTCCCGGCTCCACTTTCTGACCTCCGGCAGATCCGGTAAAATCTGTTCAAATTTTCTTTGAGAGAGAGAAAAAGAGATTATTTTGGAAAAAGTGATTTTACCAGCCAAACAGTGCCTTAAAGAAATCCAGCAAGCCAAATCTGGATATCCAAAAATCCAGCAAGCCAAACGGATCCAAAACCAATCCAGATATCCCTCAAACACCAAGATCCAAACCAGTTCATGTCAAAACAAACTAGAATCTGAAAACATTTGCAAATCCGTCTCAAGAACGAACTAGAATCTGCAAAATCTCAGGCAAAATCATTGAGTAAAAACAACAATTCTGAAAATCCAGTGGTTCTAAAAACCACACCAAAACAAAATCGAAACAGAAAAATAATGTGAAGTAAGATCCAGCCCACAAAACAATAGTATAGAGGATCAACACCAGAAAATCATAAGAGAATATGATTTCGAAGAACCCTAAAGCCCATCGTCATCAACACAAGAACAACGGCCCAGAATCACGGATCATCACCAGTCAAACAACAGACGGCGGCGCAAACTCAATCATCAGCGAAAACCTCAAACAGAGGGATCCACGACCGTTAGTTATCAGAACAAACGACGAAACACCATCGTCAACCATCAATGGTGAGACATCATCATCAACCATCAACGACGGAACACCATCAGAATCATCAAGACAAGAACAACCTGAGGCAACACGAAGCCCCAGCGAACTCAGAGAGACGAAGCAATATCGTCTCATCATCATCGTCCTTCAAAGCAACCCACGGCCAGAAGCAGCCGTCAAAGGCCATCAAGATCCACCATTAACAGACCTCCAAGCTTTCGTAAGACTGTGCAATCATGATGTTTTTTTATGGTTTTATTGCAGGGAAAAGAAGAAAGAAATATGAAGATGCAGAGAAAAACGAATGAGACAGGGGGAAGGAAAGATAGAAAGTCCGCGGAATGACCCCAATAGGGGTTCCGTCGTACCGTCTGCAAGGAAACAAGGGTTTTCAAACCTTAAAATGTTTCCAGCCATCCCCTTTTATTTAGCTGGACCGGGTCGGGTATGGGGTTGGTGACCTAGCCCGACCCGTTTCGTTTTATATTCTTTTTTGTTTTAATTTGATTATTTTGATATTTCCTATTTAATTTAAAATATAAATTAACAATTAAATAAACCTTTTTTCAAATGAAAATTGTACAAATAATTTAACGTAAATTTCTTTTTAATAAAAACTAAATAAAATTAAT